ATGTAATTTTTTTTTTTTTTTTGGCAGAGATGGGAGCTTGCTATGTTGTCCAAGTTGGTTGCAAACTCCTGGCTTCTAGAGATCCTCCCATCTCAACCTCTTAAAGTGTTGTGATCACACGCATGAGCCACTGCATCTGGCCAAAGATTTCTTAGATACCACCCCAAGCATAAAATACAAAACTTTATAAACTTAACCTAAAAATTCAGAACTTTTGTGTTTCAAAAGACACCATTAAGAAAAAAATAGGTGGGAGAAAATACCTGCCAAACACGTCAGATAAATAACTTGTATCTAAAATCTCCAAAAATTCTCCCAAACCAAAAACAACAAAAAAACTCTTACAACTCAATAATATGAATATAACACAATAAAAAATAGACAAAAGACATGAATAGACTATTCACCAAATAAATATGTAAATGGCCGTAAGTACATGAAAAGATGCTCAACATTACTAGTTATCAGAGAAATCAAAATAAAAAGCTCAAGGAGATACCAGTCCACACCCACAAGGATGGCTCTAATAAAAGACAGGCAGTAACACATGTCTATGAGGATGTGGAGAAATGGGAACCTTCATACACTGCTGGGGGAATGTAAAATGGCACAGACACTTTGGAACATAATTTGGCAACTCCTTAGAAGGTTAAACATAAAATGACCACATGATGCAGCAAGGGTGTGACCCAGCTGAGAGACATGCAAGTTATTGGTAGGGAGACATCCCTCTGTCCACAGTGTGGGCCGGACAAATTCTCACAAAACCAAGTATAGTTTACACAGGAATCAGTTTTACGCCATCACTCACGCCTAACACAGCAGCTACCTGACAGCCAATGTGTCTGACTGCAGGACTGCCTCCTTCTTGGGGAATCTCAGGGCAGATGCACCCTAAACCTTTTTTTTTTGAGTTGGAGTCTCACTTCGATGCCCAGGTTGGAGTGCAATGGCACACGCATGGCTACCCCAGCATCAACCTGCTGGGCTCTGGCGATCCTTCTACCTCAGCCTTCCAAGTAGCTGGAACTACAGGCGCATGCTACCACACCCAGCTAATTTTTTTTATTTATTGTAGAGACAAGGTCTCGCCAAATTGCCCAGCCTGGTCTTGAACCCGCGGGCTCAGGATTCACTCTCCTAGGTCTCCCAAAGTGCTGGGATTACAGGCTGAGTCACTGAACCTAGCCTGGGCCCTAAACCTTTAGGATTTGGTCAAGTTCTCTCAGGCTGCCCTAGTTTCTAGATCAAGGTAAATACACAATGCCTACTAGCTGGCATGACCTGAGGGGCTGATTCTAATGGCGCTGCTGTGCGGTAGCCACACACTTTTCCTCCAAGAGTGAGTCACAGCAGCTGAAAGAAGACTGAAAATTCTCTAGGGAGTGGAGAACCTCATGAAGTGCTTGCCCAAAGGCACCCTCTGAGCTGAAGGTAGGAATAAACAAGATGGATATGATCTCAAGCTCCTCTGTGGGAAAGGTGCCTGGGGAATCCACCCCACTGTGTCTTCCTCGCCCCTTCCATCCCTTCTTCTTGTACTGATGATAGTGTCAGCCACCTGGGAATCTCTAGCAACCTGAATGTTCACCTGGCGTCCATTCAATTGAAGAGTCTTGAGCCATAATGACCCCCTGTCAGTCATCAGTTTCCCTGTCATTACACTGAAAGAAACTGAAGATAGTAAATAGTCTCCTCTCTCTAATGGATTTTATGCAACCTCACCCATGCTTTATAGAAAGGTAAGGATGAAAGGAAAGGCATCTCATATCTACCTATACAACATTATCCTGCAAACAATCCCAAAATAACGCTTCCTTTGGGCTGCTGTGCTGGAATGATTATGAGGCAGTGCTTAGGAAGCCCAGGATGCTTACAAGTGATGCGTTTAGAAGTTCCATCGCAAGCACCTTTTCGCAGAGATTTGTTTATATCGTAGCCATACAAACCTCAGCATGAAACCTGGCATACAAGAGCTCAGTCTCTGAGGAAACTTTTTAAAAAAGAATTGGGGAGAAATGTGGGTAACATTAAATTTAGCAATCGCTCTATTATAGAGGTAGAATGGGAATAAAAGGGAAGGTCAGTTACCTCAGATACCGCTTCTATTACACTAACAAAAACAATTTTTGGAATACATGTTTGAAGGGCATTATTTCAGGCTCTTTCTTTCTTTTTTTTTCTTCCAGGAACAGGATCTCACTCTGTCACCCCGGCTGGAGTGCAGTGGTGCAATCCTAGCTCACCATAGCCTCTAACTTCTGGACTCAAGTGATCCTCCTGCCTCACCCTACCGAGTAGCTGGGACTACAGGTATATGCCACCATGCCCAGCCAACTAAAAAGAAAATTTCTCTTGTAGAGACAAGATCTTACTATATTGCCCAGATGTGTCTTGAATTCCTAGACACAAGTGATTCTCCTGCCTTGGCCTCCTCAAGTGCTGGCATTACAGGTATTGTGAGCTGCTCTTTCTTATTCTAGCCTACCCATCTGTCCTCAGGTTTTAATTGGCAGTCTTTTGGTGCACTATTTAAACTAAAGGAAATTTGTGGGTGGGAGAGAGTCTTCAAAAAAAATTGCATATAAATCCTCAGTGGTTGGTCAACCACCATCAGCTGTGCCCTCCATGGAAGTATGGGAAAGACATTGCTGTTATCTTCTTACTTCCAAGAGACACATTCTAGAAACCTGCATTTGTGAGGCATTGTGCCAACTATGTGGGTTTCTTGCAGCATCTCATTAAATCTCATTAAACTCAAGGAGAAAGATAGTAATACAGAGGGGAAAACTGAAGCTTCCACAGGATAAATTATTTTCACAAGATTATACAACTGGGAAGTCTTCTAGAGGGCAAAAGCATGAGCTTTGGAGTGAAAAAGATCTGAGTTAAATATGAACTCTGGCCTTTGGAATTACAGGAGATTCTCGTTACTCACGAGAATTATATTCTACTAAGGTCATAAACACTGAATTAGTGAACACTGAACCACTGCTCCTAGAGGGTAAGGTTCCGGAGAGCCTCTGGTCACAGTATTTTCATTAACTATCAGTATGTAACTTGTTTCATGTGTGTTTCTGTTTAGGGACATCTTGTTTAATATACATTGTCGATTCAACCACACAAACTTAGGGCACTAGAGCTCTTGCTTGAACCTAACATATACCTTTTCTCCATGAAATACATCCCAGCCTCATGGTGCTTATGAACACTTGACAGCATTTCAACACTGTTTGGGAAAGTATTTGAAACAACAAAATCACCAAAAAAAGCACACAAATCTGAAAAATGAGACACTAAGTAGACTTGTGTACAGCATGGGGGTTGAAATAAGATGGGAGGGCGTCACCTTGTTCCCCTTCCTCTGGAAACATGTACATCTGGTGACTTCAATTTTTCTCAGCCCTGCACATGTCCACAAATGACTGGAAAGCACTTCAAGTATTGATTTGGAAATTAAAAATACATTTTTTTAGTTAGGCAGATGATTTCATAAATATGTGATCCACGAATAATGAGGATTGATGGTATTTCTACCAAAGCCTGTTATTTCCTCTGGGCAAGGATAGCACCTTCTTCCTAGGGCCATTGGGAGGATAAAATGAAAAAATACAGAGATGGCTCTCAGCACCAGGCCTAGCCCAGAGTGAGCACAATGGAAAAGGTTGCTATGGTGACGGATCTTGTCATTTCAGCTCTTGCCATCTGGTGGTGCTGAGTCTCCCAGAGCCAGCTTGCAGGTATTGCACAAACCCAGAGAGTGCAGCTGCCCGGGGTTCTGGGCGGTGTTTCCAAGGCTCCCTTTTCTCAGGGGTATCAAAGGTCCGGGTTGAGCAAACACTCTGGGCCCAGAGCACCAGTGGAACCACTGACATTTTGCACAGAGATGTAAATGAAGGAGCAGAGTAAATGGCAACCGGGCTGGATGCATTTCAAAATCAGTATGCTGGGCTTCTGGCAAGGCCCCCAGTGTTCTCCGTGGCCGGCCACAGAGAGGGTGCACAGGGTGCATGTTAACTAGCCCCGTGAGCCCTGGGCCAGCACTGGAGATTATTCTACATTGCTGGATATGGGGGTTGGAGGTGGGAAGCAGAGCGATGCGGAGAGGAAGTGGCTTCTTCTCCAACCCCATCTCCATCTCAGCACCCCCCCTCATTTCATTTTCAGGTGCCCTGCACTCAGATTTGAACTCCAGAACACTGCACAGACCCTTGGTTCTGCTCAAATTTCAAATTTTTTGCTGAGTCAAGATTCATTTTAAACTTTAGAAGCAGGGTCTTCATTCACCTGGGCTAAGTCACGTCTGTGCAATAAAAAAAAGACCCAGGGGCTTAACACAGGTTCCTAATTACTGGAGTTCTTCCTGGATGACTGGGAAATGAAACAGCTTCAAAAACACACTCACAGCTAATGATTTTTTTTTCTGCCATATATTCACGAAGTTGGACTACAAGAGCCAGCTTTATCTCCTCATGCTGCAGGGCACGGAGCCCAAGACTGGACGGACTGGACGTTCCAGCCTCCGCCACGAGCAGGTGCCAACTCGCTATTGTTAACTGGAACTGTACAACCAAGGCTCCGTCTGATTTCAGGGCTGGTTCCCTGTTTAACATGTGTGAGTGTAGTAAGCTCAGTCTCAGATGGGCGGCTGGCAGCTGGGAGGGGGGAACCACTCCCCCTCTTACGGGTTCCCAGATGACTGTACTCCGTCTAGACGGGAGCGCTAATGAAGTGGAACAGCTGCACGTGCAAAATGACACTTTAGACCCCCACCATCCCCCCCAGTGACCAGGCCAGGCACATTTGCAAGTTGATATTGTTGCTCCTGGTAATCTTGTTCCAAAAATTACCATACTCTGAATACTGGGTTCTATTCTTCAAATTTTCTTTTTTACATGGCACATAGACATGGTCCCCGAGCTACCAAGATTCCAAGAAAAGTCAAACAGGAAACCCCTGGGACTCTCTTTTTCTTCTTCTTTTTTTTTTTGAGACCTTGCCCTGTCGCCCAGACTGGAATACATTGGTGCGATCCTAGCTCACTGCAGCCTCAAACTTCTGGCCTCAAGGGATCCCCCTGCTTCAGCCTACAAGTAGCGAGAACTATGGGAATGTGCCACCATGCCTGGCTACTTTTCTTTTTTTTAGAGACAAGGTCTCGCTATGCTGTCCAGGTTAGTCTTGAACTCCTGGCCTCAAGCAATCCCCCCACCTCAGCCTCCCAAAGTGCTGGAATTATAGGCATGAGCCACCATACCTTGCCAGGACTCTTCTTTTTAGAAGTTGACCAAAGCTTATCTTTTAGTTTCTTTATGGCTTATATTTCTAATGATATAAGGAGCAATGCTTCTTTTAAACATCCTTTGGGAAAGCTGAATTTCTTCTGCTTTGTATATTAGAGAATATGGCTAATTCTACATTATTATATGAAGCCCTAGAATCCCAGTGGCACAGCACAATCACTTATGGAAATAAATAACAAAGCCCTTTACCCTATGAATTGGATTCAGGCGGCAAAGCCAGGTATCTTGTTGCACGTGGCCCAGCCCCTGAGTTCTTGTTGTGAAGTCACCTCAATTTCTACTCCCTGGGCAAGAGTGATTAAGCCACTTCCACAAGGCTTTTTCCTACTCAAAACAGGTCAGCTTCTCTTGACACTGAATGAGTCCCTGTATTCCGCTCCAGGAGGCAAGGTGAGAGTGACTGATGCCCTTGAACTCAGGAAAGGTTCAAGGTGGATATGGAAGGATGACTCATAGATCACGTTTTCATGTTCATGGGGGCTAGCGAAAGCCAAGAATTTTCTAAACATACCTTCATTCCCTCAACTTTCAAGGAGCTCAAATTTGTATCTCTTACATTAAATGAGAACAGATCCTGGATCTGGGCCCCAGATGCTAATCCTAAGCTAATCGTGTTCCACTCACTGGTGACGCCAAACACAGTGTTCCCCTATTGGGGACAACACCATCCTGAGAAGAAGGGAAACTCTGGGATTCTTTTTCTTTTAATTTTGGTTGAGGGAGTAGCAGGGAAGTATAGCTACCATGAAAGTATAAGTAATAAAGAGACAATGAGGTTCAAGAAATAATACCAGAGAATCTCATTCAGGATGTCTGTGTTTTCCTCCAACTAGTGCCAGCCTTCTTGGCCATAACCCCACTAGCCTTTTGGGCCCTTATACAATAAACAGGGTCTTCTTGGCAGCCACTGTTCTAATTTTTTCAGAGGAAGGCAGCAAATAATTCCTTAGAGCTCCTTGAACATGCCGATCAGAGGTCCCAATCTACATTTTATGGTGGTGCCACAAATTTCTTAAAAAAAAAAAAAATCCCAAAAGAAATTTCATTGCAATATCCTTGGCTAATAGTCATACTTTTTAAAAAATTAGCTGGTAAGCAAATTATCCCACCAAGGACATTTCAAGTTAGTTTACTCATTGATTGTGTTTTTCTAACTGGTGATGAGAGAAGAGAACCAAGGGTATCCCTTCTCACTTCCCACAAAAGCCTGCATTTATAGAAGGGCCATGGACCACCAGGTATTCCAGAAACAGGAAAAGAATATTAAGAGGGTCACAGGAAGAACTGGAATCTATGGTAGAGACCCAGTGGCCCAAAGAGGTACAGACGGCTCAACTAGCTCATGCAGAGAGACACTCTGAAAGAGCAATGGGGTGGGGGTGGCTACGGTCCTGATCCAGTATTAAGGGTTAAAGAGTTGTACTACCTTGGGCTAGACACTTCACTTCTCTGAACTTCATTTATCTTAGTGATAGGATCATAACATAGGCTTTGGAGACAGATAAATCCATTTCAATCCATTTCAGTCACCAACTATCTGTGGGCAAATGACACAATCAATTTGAGCCTAAGATTCCCCATCTGTATAGAACCTACTTATCATGCAGAATTACTGTTAGGATTAGAAATAATGTGGTTAATACATCCAGCCAAGAGTCTAGTTGTTCAGTGAATGCTCAATAAATGTGATTATTACTCTTATTGTTTAAGGTGATGCCTAGGTCTAATGCTCCTTCTGGCTCTAGGAGCAGAAGAATGGTATCTTTTTCTTTTTTTTTTTTTTGAGTTAGAGTCTCACTCCATCCCCCAGGCTGGAGTGCAGTGGCATGTTCATGGCCACCCCGGCATCAACCTGCTGGGCCCAGGCTATCCTTCCACTTCAGCCTTCTAAGTAGCCAGAACTACAGGCATGCACTATCATGCCCTGCCAATTTTTTGACTTACTGTAGAGATGAGTTCTCGCCAAGTTGTCCAGGCTGTTCTCGAACCCGTGGGTTCAGGCAATCCCCTCACCTTGACCTCCCAAAGTGCTGGGATTACAGGCTTGAGCCACCATGCCCAGCCAAGAATGATATCTTAATTGTCCATTTCCCTTGCTAGATTATAAGATCCACAAGGAACTTTATGTTCACTCCTATACACTCAGATCATAGCAAAATACCTGGCATATAGTTGGCTCTCAAAACAAACCTGCTGAAGAAATAAATAAACGGTTGCATTAAAAGGCAATTGTTTTCTTAATCCATCTAGATCACATAGTTTCACGCCTGAAAACACAAAATGCATCTTATATTCATACTACAAATCTCATTGCACCATGTCCTGGGGCAGACAATGCAATCCCTGAGCACTCAGTGTTAAAAGGCCGCTTAGGACTCAACCCTCCTCCCAGAGCCCAGAGAGGGAAAATGACTTGCTCAAGCTACAATTCTGCCTAGCCAGGACCAGTTAATGGTCAGCAGAATGGAAGGAGGGGGTGGTACCTACTTTCACAGCATAGGTGCTACCAGGGTCCTCGGAGCAGGTGGCACAGTAATAAATGGCATCCCCCGAGTCACAGCAGGGCTTGTTACAAGTCAGCTTGAAGAGCGACCAGTTATTCTCATTGAAGTGGAGCTCCTTCTTCTGGCCACCCATAAAGAGGTCCTCACACTTGGCTACGAGGCGGGCCAGGGACTGGGTGTAGAGCCCCCCGAGCTTGGCGTAGGTGCCCTCCTTGCTGCTGATGCTGCTCAGGAGACTGTGGAGCTGAAGCTGGGTGCTGCCGGTGGAGGTCTGGCTGGATACGCTCAGCTGGGAGGATGAGGCGGAGGGGGCCCCTTTGCACTGGAGGCTGGGGCTCCCACAGCCGCTTCGGCTGCCCACCAGCCCTGCTGCTGGGACCCAGTGGCCATTGCCTTTGAAGGCTTTCTCCAGGGGCTCAGAAGAGGAGAAGGTATGATGGTGGCGGCTCCCGGAGCTCAGGGAACAGCTAAAGTGAGACTCGTCGTGGACGTTGGTTTCTGAGTGGCTTAGGTTCAGCCTGGGGCTTGTTGTTCGGGGCTTGGGGGAGCCTTGGGTCCAGAAGAAGCCATCTGGGGAAGAGGCTGCCCGGCTCACTATCTTTTTCTGGGGGAGTGGAGGGGGCTTCACGGGGCCACTGGGGGACACATCCTCGGTGGAGCCTGAAGTAAATGGAACCAGAGCAAAGAGCTTCTTCCCACCATTGGTGGGCGAGTGAGCCGGCTCGTAGGATGGACCTATGGAAAGGAGAAACAACCAGCAGGCTAAGGCCAACGCTATGCAGTTTCAGGTCCTGCAGACTCCCTCCCTCCCTGCCTCCCTCTCTCTCCTTCTCCCCTTTCGTTGTCACAGCAATTGTATTTTACTTCTCTTCTATTTCTCAAATAGACAATATGTACACAGTAGAAAAACACACAATTGCAAAAAAGGTACACCTTGACAATGAAGTCTCCCACCCTGTCCCTTAGCACCCAGCCTTTCTCATCAGCGGAAACTGCTTCCAGCAGTTTCTCCTGCATCTTCCCAACAATCCAAACCAATGTTATGTGCGTGTGCTCACACACCTAAGAGAGAACAAATGCTGCCCACTGTTTGGAATACTACTTTTCTTTCACATCTTGGAGAGATTTCACACCAGATGCACAGATCTCTCTAATTCTTTTAAACAGTCATATCATAATATATCACATGTGTCATAATTTATTTAACTCAAGTTATTTAACCATTATTTATTTAATCCCACTAGATGAACACTTAGGTTTTTCCCAATATTTTGCAAACAATGCTACAACAGCAATAATAAACTTGAACATGTGTGGTCTGATTGGATTTTTATAAGTAAGGTTTACAGAAGGTACAGTTTACCTGTAGCTAAATTCTCCCTCTCTAGTGTACAGTTCTTTGAGTTTTCACAAACTCCTTGTTGGCCTGGGAGGCAGAGGAGTTCTACAGGCATTTTAAAAAGCAGGAGAATATGATTTTATAAATGAGGCAGCAGATCTTAAAGGAAAGAAGTCTTTCCAAGGCCTGTAGTTCCCAGAGTGGTGCACGTGGATACACATTCTGACTAGGGGAAGGTTCACCCAAGGTCGCAGGTGCCTGCAGGGTATGGGGACATTCAGAAAACTTGTCTAGGCAGAACACAAGATGCTGGGATGAAGGACAAGTTTATACAAGGTGACAGTTGGACCTCATCCTTTCTATCAACATATAAAATAGTAGCTTCACAAAGAAACAAGAACTTACATACAAACTACACAGAAAACAGATATGCCCAGCTGGAGAGGGAAAAGGGCAAACTGAAATAATACTCATTTTCTTTATTCTAAGAACTGACTCTAAAATGTATCTGCTATTTTTTTTTTCTTTTCTGGCTCATGTATATTGTATCTGCTATTTTAATAATAGCTTTTCATTTTATTTTACTTTTTTGAGTCTGGGTCTCACTCTGTTGCCCAGGCTGGAGTGCAATGGGGTGATCACAGCTCACTGCAGCCTCCAACTCCTGGGCTTAAGCGATCCTTCTGCTTCAGGCTCTCAAGTAGCTAGGATTACAGGTGTGCACCACCATGCCAACTAGTTTTTTAATTTTTTTGGTAGAGATGATATCTAGCTATGTTGCCTAGTCTGGTCTCAAACACTTCGGCTCAAGCAGTTCTCCTAACTTAGCCTCCCAAAGCGTTGGGATCACAGGTGTGAGCTACCACGCCTGGTCTTAATAACAGCTTTGAAGTAGATTTAAAAAAAAAAAATTAACTATATTCATAGGTTGTAAAAGGCATTGTATTTTCCTAGAGGTTAAAATGTGAAAGAAATACAGCACTGAGATTTCAGGAAGTAGGAACTTATGATGTGGACACCTCCCTGAGTTCACTGTGCCAAGGCACCTTAAGGGCAGAACACGTAGTGTCTCTATGCCTCTCCCCACCCAGCAGAGGGACCATAATGAAAGAGACACAGCAAACACATGGGTCCGAGGCAAGGGGTGACAGCCTACAAAGGAGGCAAATTGTGAGTCTTGTGTCACCTCACTGAGATGCACATGATCTTTCTGGGGCTGCTCCTGAGTAGTTAATAACCTTCCACGCCCACACTGAGCTCTTTCCTGCTTCCTCCAACCCACATGGGAGCAGAATGAACCTCTGAGGCACAAACACCAGCTCCAAGCCCTCAGATCAGGGATCTCCTTTCCGTGGCTCCATGGGGAGGAGGGTCTCTCTAGGGAACAAGATGAACGGCCCTGGGCTGACATTCAAGCTCCAGCCTCGCTGACCAGGGCAGCATCTGTGGGTGACATCAGGAGCCTCCTGCCCTGCACAATCTCGAGGGCAAAGCTCGTAGGAGGACACAGTCAGTGCACGCAGCTTGCTGAACACAGGAGCTGACAACTGATGGATTTATGCAGAGAGAAGCTCTGGGCAGTAGAACAGGGCTCTTGGGCCTCACAGCCACACCCTCCCTGGCTCCAGCTCCATGGTCTCTCACCAGATCCCAGAGCTGACGCTTCTCGCGCTTTCCTCACCCACTTCCCTGTCTGCACTAGGCAATCCCTCTTGCTTCCCAGTGGATTATCAAGATCATGGCCAGTTGTCCCTCCCATGTTGCCCTGCTTTGCTAATGATGGGTGGGGGTTCCTGCCAGCAAGGCTGAATGAGTGATTTATACCCCTTCCAGGAGGGCACAGGTTCACAATAAATCAAGCGGCAGTGGCGTACTCTGGACCAGTCAGTTTCACATGCCTGTGAATTTTCCCCTCAATGGTTAGAATGGAGAGTGCACAAGAAATAGCCAGCCAGGGGATGGGGGGTCCTGATCACAGCAGATTTTGGCAGGAGTTCATAGGTCTCCCATCCCACACTCCCCAGGAAAGCAAAAGGGACAGACAGAGGCTAAGGGGGATGATTCACTTCCTCTCCCTCCTCCCTCTGGCAGAAGAGGCTGAGAGAGGAGGAGGATCACTTACGATCTCCTCAGCTAAAAAAGGGGGAGCAGGACCACCCACCCGAGAGACTCTCAAAGAACAGTAAGTAAGCATCAGTCACCAAACCCCGGCCTGATAGCCAAGAGGGTCGGAAGCGGTGAGCACACATCTATTTCCTGTCCTTTTTTGCATTTCAGGCAGAATAAATTGTTACCACCGAGGTGTCTGATTTTCAATTTATCAACACAGCAGTCACTGGAGGGTGGGGGGTGGGAGTAGGGTGTGATCAGATGCCTAGTGAATGCTTTCATCAGTGCCCACAGTGACAGGGATAGCCTGCCTATGGTCAGAATAGCTTTGGTCCCCAGACCAACTGGCCAGGGAGGTTTATAACAGATCAGTTTATTGGCTAGTGCCTTCTTTAAGTCTTGGGCTTGTTTTCCTATCTTGATTGGCTTTGTCTTCCTTGTCTTTAATGTAAGCCTCCCTTGATGCTTCCGATATACCCCTTCTGCTTCTACTCTGACTTGAAGTTGAACAGGGGAATGAACTCCTCACTAGTTGTCCACCTTCCTGGGTGAACTTTGTCCTTTAAGAAAAATGATCAGATTGCATCGTTGGGAAGGTCCCTTAAGCATGAATAGTCTATAATTTCAGCCACTCTCTCCATTTCCAACCTCTCGGAACATGTATACTGTCTCAAAGCTGCCCATGAAATCAATTACCTCTAGGCAGATGGTTATCTTGCTTCAGTAGTTCTTCTCTCTATCTCTAGTTCACACAGATTGCCACTGGCAAACTTTTGGACCGGTATGAATAGCAAGAATCTTGTTAAAAAACAATCTGTAGGCTGGGCACCATGGCTTACACCTATAACCCCAGCATTTTGGGAGGCAAAGGTAGGAGGATCACTTGAGGCCAGGAGTTCAAAACCAGCCTGGGACACTCTCTTTACAAAAAAAAAAAAAAATTTAAAATAAAACTAACTGGGCGTGGGGGCTCACGCCTGTAGTCCCAGCTACTTGGGAGCCTGAGGTGGGAAGATCACTTGAGCCCAGGAGTTCAAGACCAGTCTGGGCAACAAAGTGAGACCCCCATCTCTACCAAAAAAAAATCTGTAAAACTTCTGATTCCCTGGATTACTAAAGAGAATCAAGAGATTCTGATTCAGACTGGTGAGGTCCAGCACAAAAAACACTTCATGTGTTCAGGTAGCTGGAACGAAGCGATTTTCTGCTTTGCCCTATACTATGTTCTCTTGCTTTCCTCTGGGAGCTGTTAGTCTGTGGCTTAGATTAGATTTCTAGCACACAACTGCTTGGGTAAATCTGGCAAGAGGTATTAGGTATTAGGAGGGAGGTGTGGCTCCAAGGATTAGCACATGGGCTAGCTAATTTTTCTTGATTTCCGAGATGTTGTTTGTCACCAACACTCCCTCCATGATGCAGGTACTCATCAGAGAATGACGATGCCTAACCAAATGCTCCCCAACTACACACCTGCCCAGCAGAGGTAAAGCTTTATCAGGTGAAGTAAAGATCACCTGAAATGTGGCTTTGCACGGATAACTGGGCATTATGTAAACATACTATGATGTTTGTATTCCAGAAAATAAATGTGCCTGGTTCCGTGACAGGGAGACCACCTTCCAACCCAATGCATGTGTGTGAACTAACAGATCCTTAAAATTGTCCAGGTGTGGAAAAATAGCTGGTGAGAGGTCACAAATCACTCCGGAAGTCCCCAGTCCCTCAGGATCCTACAGCTTCTCAGGTGGTAATATTTTTAGGGCCACTTTGCAATAGGTGCTAACATGTAGCCCTTCTTGATGAAACTGGTTTCTTCACCATGTGGCAAGCCATAGCTGTTCTCTATGGGATCAGAGGGCACACTTGAAGACCCACTGTCATTTTCTTGACTCATACTTAGGGAACTACCTCTCCATAAACACAGCCTTAGGCAACATGGCAGCTAGATTCTTACTATTTGCAGCAGCTGCCACGCTCTGGACTTAGAAAAACAGGAAGGAAAGGGAGCAAATAAACCTCGGCACTTAAAATAGTTCAAATTGACAAGCAAACCACTGGTTCAGAAAAATCTGCCTAAAAAATCCTAAACAACTTTGGCCGACAGCCCATATTCTCAGGAGTCAGATCCAATGGGACATGAGATCAATTCAAGTCCACCTCGGCCTCATCTGTAGGTGTTAGAGGCTGCTTTCAAAAGGAAACAGAGGATATAAAAAGGGGTGGGAATGGAAAACACTTTTCTGGGAACTCCGCCTACATCTTGGTTACATCACTGGTAGGTTTTAAA